GGGCCCTTAAAGGACTCAGTCCACGACGCTGAGACTTAGAAAGCTGTAGAGTCTTGAGGATAGGCTGGAGCTTCAGCCACTGTGTGCAAATGAACTTCCAGCTTGGGAAGATTCCCTCAGCAGGTAATGATCAGATCCACAAAAGCACAGAAGGCAGGAGTCAGCTCCGTCCTTGAGGAGATGGTTTTCAGGGACCTCCCCAAGAGAAGGTGGGGCTCATCTCTGTGTCCCCGAACCCCTCCCTCAGCCTCCCACAGCCGGCTGACCTCTCCAGCTATGGTCTCATTGTTGATGAAGTCAGCAAAGTCCACGGTGGGAGACCAGGGGTCATTCTGATTGAAGATGCTGCTGCTGTGGGGCTCCGCCTCCTTCCGCTGGGTCACAGCCAGCTGGTACCTAGAGATGCTCTGGTCAGGCCTCCATGGTCACTAAGCCCATCCTGCTGCCTGATCGTCACGGAAGGTAGCCGAGCCCATGGACCTCAGCATTCCCATCTCGTTCACCCAGTCACTCTGACGCCACCCCCAACATCATTCCATGTCCTCCTGTTCATCCCTTGCCATTTCACAACATGCCCCCTCCCAAACAGCAAAGACTTTTCCCCCCTGGGCTTTAGCCTTCCAAAGGGACCATGTATCCACTGTGGGCCTTTGGATAACCAGGAAGTCCTTTTTGAGCTCTTACCTCACTCACCTCGTGTACAGTCTGAACTGAGTTCCCAGTTGCCCCTCCCAACACTCCCTTCTCACTCTCATCCCCTCCCCCACCCCACACGCATACCGCACCCCATCACCCACCTTGCCCAGCTCAAGGCTCTCTCCATGGAGCTGTTCTGGGGCAGGGGCTCCCCAGCAAAGCTGACTGTCTGGATGCGGTAGCCCCTCGGGTGCCCCCACTTGTTGCTGTGATTGCTGGCCAGGTACAGGTAGCGAGGGGAGGGACCTCCCAGGGGGAAGGCGGCCTGCTCCTCCGTCTCCAGCAGCTTCCGGGTCACCTGCAGCCTCTGTATCTGGTGCTTGGGGCTCCAGGGTACCGCCGTAAGGACAAAAGCCATGTCCTCAGCCCAGACCCAGTTCTCCAGTCCTGCAGGGGTGAAGTGGAGATGGTGGCGGGAAGAGGGGAGGGAGGGCTGGTCATGCAGCTGCTCTGCCCCCTCTGGACTCTGTCCCCACCTGGCTTCAGAGTGGGGGCCAAAGAGAAAGCCAGACTGAGTGTGCCCCCTGCTTCTCTCCCCTCTCCCCAAGATGTCCCAATCTTTCAGCCAAACCTGTTGACCTGTGAAATATTTCTTCAAGGATTTCATTCCTTCACCCTTTCACACTCATTAGTGGAGAGGCCTGTGCTCAGCACTGGGGACACACTGATGAATGAAACAACATCCTTACCCTCCTGCTCTCACAGAAGCCCCAGAGAGGCCAAGCCCTGAAGGGACTGTAGTGTGAGAGGAGCCCATTCAAGATTGAAGATTAGAGGAACACAAGTACAGGCAAGAATAGACGGCTTCCTGGGCCACTTTTCAGCCTGGCCTTAGAGGATGTCACCAGCAGAGGTGACATGGCAGGGTATTCTAGACAGGGGCAAAACAGGAGCAAAAGCAAAGAAGCGTGACTGTCACATGTGGTGTGCATGTCCAGGGACAGGGCGGGTGTGTGTCTTAAGCAGCACAGGGAAGAATGTGAAAGGCAGGCAGTAGCTGTCCTCTGAAGGGAAGGGCCTTGTAGGTCCTTCTGTGGACAGGCTCCTATAGGTGATGGGGAAAGTGGGAAATGTGTAAGGGAGCAGGCTGGCATGGGCTGGTGGGTCCCTCTGAGCGCAGAGTGAACCATGGATCTGAGAGGGAAGCAGCAAAGAGAGGGCTGGTGCCCACAGGGGGCCGGTAGCGGGGCCAAGCGAGGGGTTGGAGATATTTCAGAGGCAGAAAAAAATCTGGTGATGAACTCAGTGTGGGGAACGACAGTGAAATGACCAAGACTCCAAGGCATCATGTAACCCTTGGCTCTCTGTGACCACCAACTCCAGGAACTATCTGGAATATTCCACAGTATCCGCTCTACCCCTCACACTTAAGTGTATTGTGCCCAGAGATGGAAATTCAGGGAGGAGAAAGGTTCACCTCCCAGGGAAATGTATCCCCCGGGGGCGTTCCACGATTGGCCTGCAGGTGCCAGGGACTCTGTAGAATGCAAACAGATCCTCCCCAATACCTACACTGCAGGCCAGACACAGATAAGCTGAAAAGCAAATGGCTGCCTCACTGAAGTGGGGCCCATATAAGTGCCAGGGAGGGAAGAGGGCAAAGGGGACCCTTAGCCCGGATCCTGCCTCTTCTCTGAGCTTAGCTGTTTCCCAAGATTTTCTGATGAGGTCATGTGGAGGGTGGGTGGCAGCTCTGTATCCAGCCAGTGAGCTAAGATCTCAGTAAAATTCAGCAACCAACTCTCTCCCATCCAGCAAAAGAGGAAGCATGAAACTCCAAAACATATACTCATGCTCAGATCTTCCTTTCCTGGAAAACCTCCATCAAACACAAAGCAAACAAAGACAACCCTTCATCCCCCTATCTGGGATCCTGGCCTCCGCCAGGATGTCTTACCTCCCACGTCCAGATCCACCTTGTAGTGGGCACTGTGGGTGTGGACGGTGCCCAGCGTGTGCTTCCCAACCTGGTTTCCATATCTTCGGGCAGCTCCAAAGAGGAACGCTGAGCTGATGTAGCCCGTGGCGTGGAATTTGACTTCGATGGCCCCATTGGGGTGGAAGACCATATCCCACACATAGTCGTAGTTGAGCAAGGTCGACACAGATCTGACGACCAGCACTGTCTCCACAAGGCCCCCAAAATAGTGGGAATGAAAATCTGAGTGGTGCCGCCTCAGGGGCAGGCCCTGGTTCTGCTCAAACACACAAAAGGCATCATGTAGTGTCTTGGGGGCTTGGGACTCCAAAAGGAAGTGCCAGTCCACGTAGGTGGCCAGATAGGGGCAGTCCACCCCACGGGTCAGGGGTGTGGAGTACTTGCCCATGCCAAAGCTGCCATCCATATAGTGGGTCAGCATTGCTGCTGGGGAATTTCCACCATAGACAGCCAAGGCCTCTTGGAGGCTGACCTCGTAAGCCAGCCGTTCTCCCTGGAAGCGGATGTCAAAGATCCTTGGACCACTGAAAGCTCCAAGGCCAAAGGAGAAAGTCCACAGTGAGGAGACCACTCGACTCCCCTGGACGCTGAAGCGGGGGCCCTGGGGATGGAACTGCAGAGGGGGAGCCAGATCCGGAGGCGCCTTGGACTTCAGGGACCAGGACCCACCTGTGCCATTGTCTGGGATCACCACCACATTCACCAGGCCGGCCTCAAACTGCTCCTCCAGATGGGCCAGACCCTCATAGTAGCGGCCTTGAAAGAACACCTTCTGGATGGTCCAGCGAGCAGGGTCCAGAGCCTTGTGGTCTACCAGAAGCTCCAAACCTATGGGATGCAGGAAGAACCCAGCCCCTGAGATGTTGTAGTAGAGGCCAAACCAGGTGGCCCTGTCCCCTGATTGCAAGCCACGGGGGGCTGTGGTCATGGTCACCAGGTTCCCTCCTTGGTGCTTATAGAAGCAGCAGTGGTGGAGGAGACCAGCAGCCTGGGGCAGCTCTGTGTTGAAGATCCTCTGGTCTATGTCCAGGTACTCTCGCATGAGCACGGGGCGTCGGTGATAGGGCAGGGGGCCCCCGTGACGCTCCACAGTCACGTCCCGCAGGTAGGAGGGGTGCGGCAGCGGCCCCACCAGCAGCTCAGTCACATTGGGCTGGGGTTGTCCGCCAAAGAAGACGATGGCCAGTGCCTCCCGGGCAGGCGGGGGGCTCCCCCTGTCCAGGTGGGCCAGGGCTGCAGCCTTGGGGGGCAGCTCCAGCTCTACCGAGAAGACGCAGTTGTCTGAAGGTTGGGCCTGAGCTGCATCCACCAGGCCCGGCCCCAGCTTCTGGGTCAGAAAGCTCATCACAGCCGTCAGCTCTTCTTGGCTCAGGTCTGCAAACAGCTGGCTCTGGCCAGGGTGTGTCCAGGGCTGGGCACTTGGTGATACGGAGGGGCAGAGGGGAGGCAGGCTGTGTTCACCACCATCTCCTCCCCTGCCAGCTAGCAAGACACACACCAGGGCAAAGATGGTGATGACAGCCAGAGCGAGGAGCACCAGGGTGGTCTTCTGGTTCATTGTCCCCTGAACGTAGAGACAGAGGATTGAACCAAAGTGGAGACTTGTATTCTCAGGTCAGCAGAGGAGGGTCTCTTTTGCTCCCTGGACTGGGGGCTCCTAGACTCTGGCTGAGGTTCTCAGTATTCCGACGCAATGGAGACTGAGGATGGG